TACGTTTTACCAATTAAACTAATAATTTACACACGAACTTAAAAAAAGATGTTATTAAAAAAAAATTTTTTAAATTTTATTAATAAAAATTAATTACATGTTATTAACAGAAATAAATCGTAAGTATTTATTTTTTAAAACCTTAAAATCTTTCACGAAATACTATTAAACATTTTACAATTCCAAAGCGACATTCTTACAACTTCTAAGAAAAAATATTGAAAAAACCAACGTTTAAGTTCACACTTGGCTTCAAGTAGATTTAGGTTTTGCAAAAATGGTGACGAAATCGGGAAGTGGCATGTTATTCTTCTTTATTTAAAGGTTTAAAAAACGTAAAGGCCAAAATCTTAGCTGATCCTTTTCTCAAGTTATTGTCAAATTAAAATTTTTTTAACGAAATTTAAATAAGATAATAAGAGAATAATTATTGCACATTAGTTTAATTAAAAAATTTAATGTTTTAGTAACAATTAACTATCTTAAAAATAACAACTTAATATTTTTCTTAATTATTTTAGTTTTAATTAACAAATTTAACACATTGGAATCATCGACAATTTTCTCAAAGGTGTTTTGAAGAGAACTCGATTACTGCTTTTTTGAATCGAATTAAATGGGTAGGATCGTCAATCAAATTAATTTTGTAACGCTTCCAAAACTTTAAAAATTCTCGGTGAATTGATTCACCAGCCTGTTCTAACCACAAACCTAAACCACGATTTCCTAGAAAACTCAAACTTTCTTGAATGTGTGATACTGCGACATGGATTTTTAAAGTTTCGGTAGCTTCCGTACCTCTAAGCACACTTGGCTTCAAGTAGATTTAGGTTTTGTAAAAACATCACACATTCAAGAAAGTTTGAGTTTTTTAGGAAATCTCAATAACTTGAGAAAAGGATCAGCTAAGATTTTGGTCTTTACGTTTTTTAAACCTTTAAATAAAGAAGAATAACATGCCACTTCCCGATTTCGTCACCATTTTTGCAAAACCTAAATCTACTTGAAGCCAAGTGTGAGTTACAGTTGATAGAAGAAAATGCCTGCATAAATTATTAGAAATTAACGTCAAATTCAGAATTCAAAATTCATCGTATATTATTATAGGAACCAAAGTTGATTTCAAAAGTTTAATAATATTGACAGCCAGTCGCCTGTAAGAATCCTAGAGATCAGAAAAAATGAAAATTTTGAAAAATGATTAAAATTCTTATAGCTCTAGGTGTACATTGCATTGTTGTAAATTAACAATTAATAAACATTTTAGGGTTGACTAATAAACGTTGACTGTTGACTACCGAACGTCAGGAGGTTTCTTAGAGACCAGAGGAAAAGAAAATTTAAAAAAAAAACAATTTAAATTGTAGTAACACTATCTGAAACTGAAATTGTTGTTAATTTAGAATTAATAAACATTTTAATTTTCTCACTACTGAATAATTTTTTTTTGTACACATTTTATTTAAAGCAGTTGTTTTTGAATTTAGCGCTAGTTCAATATGGCTATACGTTTTGCGCATGCGCAGTTTATCTTTGTTTATTTTTTGTTTTCTATGATTTTTTTGTTCGTTGTATGTTATGCCGAGTTGTCACCACCAAACGTTGAAAAGTAATTACCAAACACTACCAAACGTTTACAAAAAGAATTTTTGTAAAATTCTTAAATATGGTGCTAGAGTGAAAATTGCATTAAAAAATTGAAAGTGAAATACTATTTTTATTTTTCGCTACCAAACAACCAAAAGTGATTACCAAACACTACCATACGATTACCAAACGATTAAAAAAAAATTTTGATTTTGTTCACTTTTTGTGCTAACTTCACGGAGGTCCCAAAATTCCCTGAAACTTGACAGAACCTCACACGTCAAGGTTAGGAAAATTCAGTGGCAAGGTTCATACAAGTTTATGTCGATGTTTAAATGTCCACATGAAAAGAATATTTACACAAAACTGTCAGGGATTATTACACTATAAATATTCACGTGCAATGTTCAGTCAATGTTGTGTCAATATTGAAATTACATTTTCGGCTAGTTATAAAAATTTCGTTTACTAATATAATAAGTATAGGTGAATGTTGACACAACATTGACTGAACATTGCACGTGAATATTTATAGTGTAATATTCCCTCGAAGTTTCGTGTAAATATTCTTTTCATGTAGACATTTAAACATCGGCACAAACTTGTATGAACCTTGTCACTGAAGTTTCCTAACCTCGTCGTGTGAGGTTTTGTCAAGTTTCAGGGAATTTTGGGTGCTGTGTGGGAGGGGAGAGGGTCCCAGGACATAGTTTTAATTTTGTGCTCTAGAATTCAAATGTTTTAGGATATTTAATTATCGGACCGGGTTAAAGTAAAATAAAGGGATACAAGATACTTATAAAAATTACTATTTATTTGTGTATAAAAGAAATTTAAATTGTCACTCCACAAAGTCTAATTATACACCTCTGTGCGGTAAGTCATTTCGCACGCGTCTGTTTAATTTTCTCCTTACATTCTTATCTGTGCCCACTCTCTCAACACATTCATATTTTTCGTTCATCGGGACCCTTAGCCCTATCTATCGTAAGCTTCTATTAAACTACTTGCCACGACATCCTTCCCCTTTTTTGTAAAATTGTAATTAAACATTTTTATTTTTTTTTAATATACATAAATAATGAGAAAGGACCTACATATATTATACAACATTTTTCAATTTTATCAAGATAGGTCTATACAACTTTTTTTTTAAACAATAAATTTAATTAAAAATATTAGCTACTGAATCGTATTGGTTTTTTTGCTAATACGTCCCGATCTCGTAGTTACATTATTATTTTCGCTTTCATTCTGAACACTATCATTCATCGTACACTTATCATTTATGTTTACATGTTTATCTTTATAACGTCGTTCTTTCTTTTTTGTCTGCAGATTATTAACAATTTCTGTTTCATTATTTGACAGTTCCAACGGATAGATCTTTTGAATAGGTCTTTCTAAGATGACATTTTTTGTTTTTAATATAAATAATCTCTTTTCACCGTCACGACCTGTTAAAGCATCCACAACTAGTGCAAGAGGCCAGTCAATCCGTTTCAAATTATTGTCACCAATCAAGACGATATCTCCAATCGTTATTTTACGCGAATCTTTCTTTGAATTCTTTAGCACCAATTGACCCAGATACTCGGAACGAAATCTAACTCTCAAATCATTGAAAATCTTTTGCCTGTATTTAAATTTTTTATTCAGTTTTTCGTTACATAACATGTCAAAATCTGGTACACCGATGTCTGAGATTTCTTGCAAAAACATTGAGGGTGTGAAGGCTTTAAGATCATCTTGATCTTCCAAGATATACGTCAATAGACGAGAATTAACTATCGCTTCCGCATCGCATAGCGTTGTCATCATACTTTCATAAGGCAAGCTGGCTCTACCCAAAACTTTCCGCAATATCGACTTTAACACACCTATCAACCTCTCCCACCATCCCCCCCACCAGGGCGCTGACGGTGGATTAAATACCCATTCGATTTCTAAGACTGAACTGTTCTTGGCTACCCTTTCCCAGTTCAGACTTTTTAAGGCATTGGCTGTTCCCTTAAAATTTGTGCCATTGTCGCTGTGCATACACTTGGGTCGCCCACGTCTAGCGATAAATCTTCGAAAGCAATCTATAAATTCATCCGTTGATAACGACGATGCTAAGTCGAAATGTACGGCCCTATATACAGCACAAGTGAAGATTACGATCCACGCCTTTTCCCCACCACTCAAGAAAACAGGACCAGCAAAATCAACTCACGTAATCTCAAAAATTGCTGCATCGCGCACTCTATTCACAGGTAGAGGGGGGGTTTCACATTCCATGTGCTTACTTTGATGTCTTTGACAAATAACACATTTCGAAATAACTGATCTCACTAACCTTCTAGCAGATGTTATCCAGAATTTTTCACGCAAATTGCTCATAACAATAAGACTTCCCGCATGACACAGTTTCTCATGTGTTTCCCGTATCAACATATGTACCACCCCGTGTTTATTATCTAAAATAATTGGTCTTGAAAAATTGAAATTATCTTCACGATTGAAAATCTTTCTTTTGATAACAATCAAACCATTTTCGTTCAAAGACGTTTTGAACGAAGATAGCTTATTTTCGAAATTCATATTAAACATAACGCTTTGCAAACTCAACAATCGATTTTCTCCCATTTCTATTTGTGTTAATTGTTCGCCCGATTTCTGATCAATTTTTTCCTGACTGTCGTTAGTTACTTTACGTGATTGAATTCGCACCCTACAATTTCCCATGAATCTTAAAGTCCATGCAACAAAACGCACCAGTTTCGTATAAGAAGAGAATCGAGAACAAAAAAAGAATTTATCTTGTTCTAAATTTAACATTTGTAATATTACCTTCTTCTTTTGCTCTCGTTGTATCTCTTCCTCGTTAATTTTTTCTCGAGATACTGGCCACTTCTCGCTTTACTCATATAACCATTTCGGTCCACGCCACCACTCAGACTCTACTAACTGGGCGGGAGAACAACCACGTGACGGCAAATCTGCGGGGTTCAACTCACCTGGCACATGTTTCCACTCTTCCGTTTTCGAAAGAGTTCTAATCTCTTTAATTCTATTGTGAACAAATGTGCCCCATTGAATATCACGTCTGATCCAGGCCAAGACGGTTGATGAGTCAAACCAATAAGTAGTTTGAGAAATTTCTCAAGTCAAGGATTTTACAGTGGCATCCGCCAATCTTACGCCGATCGTGGCCGCCATCAATTCCAAACGTGGAATAGTGCAGCTCTCTTTTGGCCCTATACGAGATCTCGCGCTCAGTAATTGAACACTAACCTAACCCATATATTCAACTCTCGCAAAAACTACAGCGGCGTACGCTGAGCAGCTAGCGTCACAAAACACATGAACTGTTAAAATTCCCCTTCAATTCTTACGTGGTATTTCTACGTTTTTTATCAAAATTAAATCATTTAACCATGAGGTAAATATCTCGCTACGTTTATCATCAATAATAGTGACCCAGTCTTTTTTTTCGCCCACAGTTCCTGCAACAATAATTTTGGTAACAATGTTACCGGAGAGGAGAAACCGATAGAATCAAAAACGCGATGTGCAGCTGACGACATAGTTCTCTTTGTAACATTTTTTTGATTTTCTAAATTAAGTACTGCTGGATTAATTGAAATAACATCTTTCTTTTTATTCCATAAAAGTCCTATTACTAAAGATGTTTCGCCTATAGAACAATCACCCGTACTTTCACATCGTCGTAGATCAAAATTTCCCGTAGCCATAATCGCTTTTGTCTCTCGCTCAAATTTGTCTCTCTCTACTTCCGATTCAACGCTCGTCACGCAGTTATCAACATAAAAGGATTGTCTCAATTTTTCAACCGAACTAACCGACCAACCAGAATCAATATCCATCTTCGCTTTTTCTAACGCCTTTATTAAAATTAAATTAATAACAGCCGCTAACAAAAAAGGGCTACACGCCAAACCGAAAACTACTCTACAATGTAGAAACGTTATTAATTCTCCCTCTCTTATCCACAAAAAATGAAAATAATTCCTATCCAATTCATTGATTCCTATCTGCAAAAAGACCTGTTTTACATCTGACACCACATCGATCTCGTATTCGCGAAATCGATTAGGCGACGAAGGAACCAATTCAATCAAATTAGGTCCTTTTTCTAAACACTGGTTCAACGAAGGACTTCCCTTCTTACATGCTGATGCATCAAAGACAGGTCTTATCTTCGTTGTACCATGTGTTTTAATCACCGGTCGATGCGGTAAATAATGATTTAACACTTTATTTTCTTTTTCTGAGAATTCTTCAATAATCTCCTCTGACAACCACGTTTTAAAAATATTATCATAATCTTGAAACAAATTTTAACCCTCAAGTTTTTCAATCGTTCTCATTAATCGGTTTCGCGAAATTTCATAATTGAGGACACCAATGCAATAACCAGACGGACGCTCGGACCGGTCGCGCTGAAGCCAGTCAACGAATGAAAAAGTCGAAAAAATTAAAATTCAAAATTTTGATTTTTGAAATATACTACGTTGTAGAGAATAAAACGGCGCATCTTTTTTTCCTTTAACTTTTTTTTGTAGAATGAATAGTTTTGACAATAATTGCAAAAAACTAAATATTTTCAATCAACAAATTTTATTGAATTTTTAAACATAAATCGTTCCAGTTCCGACAAATATTAATGAATTTACTTCAAATTTGGTATACTCACGCATTTAGGTCTAGAGAAGACGATAGTATGATGAAAAAGTTAAAAACCGTAAATTATTTAATTATTTATTAATTTAAATAATAACTTACCTGTACTCTCGCTTTCCTATCTTCGCCGACAAAAAGTCTGTGGGGAACTTTTTCGTGGAAAAAACTTCCAGTGAGTCATTTGTTCCTCACATATCGAAGAAGTTTTGTGGAAAAAATCAGATCGATTCATTCAAAACTGACGAAGATACACAATTTTTAATAAAAAACGCGCAACGCCAATAAAAATAACTCCGCGATCCACGATCCAACACTGCCAGACGGCATTGTCGATAAGGTCGATGTTCAGCAATATAAACACACAAATCAGCCAAAGCGACAATATCGTCTGCCTATAGTAAGTTTCTTTTTGTTTGTCAGTCTAGGCAAATTATAAAATAATAATAAATCTCTGCATCTAAATCTGAACTTTTATTAACCGACTTATTTGTTTTTACTTTTAAAAACAGTTTAAACAAAATGGGTTACATTTTTTGTGTCTAAAAAGTGTTTATTTACATGCATAAAGCATCGAAGTTGAAGACGGCGTGATTGAAAACAAATCAAAACTTAAAGCAAAGCGCATTTATTCGTGTATAAATCTTTTAAAAAATATTTTATTCTTTATATATTGAGTGTTCGCTGCTGTACAACATGTTTTTCAATTATATTGTGTTTAATAGTGTTTTATTATTATTAATTAATTTCTGAATATGTCTGAGTCTGAATTTTCAAACACTGGTCGCAAGAGAAAAAGAGATGAAGATTCGTGGGAGAGATATAAAAAGAAAACAGCCAAAAATATGGTATGTACATCAATTTACTTTAACTTTTTCAATTTATTCTCTTTGTTAAATACTCTTTTTAAAATTGAAATAAAAAATAATTTCTAATTTATTTATTTTTTTGGTTTAGTCTGCTTTAAAATGTAAATTCGAATGAATTGTCTAATTTATTAACGTAATCAGTAAAAATGTATTAAAAAAATGAAATTGAAATAAAGTTATTGAAAATTTTAATCTAAAAAACAGTGAAGCAACAAATTAACAGAGTTTAAAATTTTCAATCGATTGAAGTTTTTCTGTAATATTTTACAATATTAGAAAAAAAATAACATTGGTACTAAAATATTGGTCTTATATTATTTTGTACATTTAAACTTTTTTGGTTATTTTAACCAAGTTTAAAGTAGATGAGCAACATGCTCGAGGTCCTAAATAAAATTTTATTAAGAGAAATCAAATTTTGTGTTTTGACATAAGTATAAAAAAATATAAATAAATATGAATACAAATAAATTTATAAATTCAGTCGATTGGATTTCAAGAAATTTCCTTTTAATTCAGCTTTAAAAAGTAAATTGTTAAAAACTTTAATAAATAGAATTATTATCAAACAGATTATTCTGATCATTCGAGAAATAAAAAATGATTTATCATTGAAAAAAAAATTTTTCTTGAAAATTTTAAGTAGCCTGTTTGAAAAATTATGACTTTATGAATTTGAGTAATTTGATAAAATAACATAATAATATGATCTTACAGGGAGAAGAATATATTTCGGCATCTGGGAAAAAAGTTGAAGCAAAAATCTTTAAGCCAGTACAACAATGTTGCAAAAAAAAATGTTTTGAAAAAGTTTCGGTCGAGCAACAACAGGAGGTTTTTCAATCTTTTTGGGCACGTGGTGATTATCACGTTCAAAACGCGATTTTAAACTGCATGATGACGCAAAAAGTTCCAACGACTGAAAATGATTCAAACAAAAAAATATTTTTGTGGGATTACACGTTTCATTGTATGAGCGGAAATATCAAAGTGTGTAAAAAATTTTTATGTCAATCTTTACAAATAGGTAAATCGAGAGTCGAAATAATTTGTAAAAAATTAATAAATAACAACAGTTTAAGCGATCAAAGAGGAAAACACGAAAATCATTTTTTAAAATTAACAGATGAAATTAAGCAATTGATTCATCTACATGCTCGATCCCTGCCGCACTCAAAATCTCACTATCAAGGCGAAAAAACCAAATTAAACTACTTTGATAATTCTGACTTATACATGAATGATGCGTACAGATTATTTCTTGACTTTTATGCAGCTATTACGGGAATTTTAGAGCCTCAAATAAGTTTGGAAACATATAGGAATTATTTCAATTTGCATGTAGATTTTGGATTTTCGAATCCGAGAACAGATGTCTGTGACATGTGTTACGCAAATGAAAATTCCGGTGTTTCGCATCCCGATTTCGAAAAACACAAAAAATTAAAAAATGATCATTTTTTGATGAAAAAAAAAATGTTGTCCGAGAAAAATGTGTTGCTGTGCGAATTTGACTACGGTCAGAATTTGCCGCTACCTAAAATATCGTGTTCTGATCAATTTTATAAGCGTCTATTATGGTTAAATATTTTCAATGTACACGTATTTAATAATAACAATAAGCGCAGCTACATGTTTCCCTCAATTAAAGGCTATTTTAAGAAAGGAGGTAATACAACATCTAATTTTTTGTTGTACGTCATAGAAAAGGAGTTTGCTTTGTCTTATTACAATAACATTTAGTTATTTTCTGACTCTTGTGAAGGACAAAACAAAAATTACCTTCTTTTCGCTTTTTTGTCCTTACTGTCAGTACATCTTCAAGTTGAAATCACTCATCTATACCCGGTTAGAGGGCACTCTTATTGCCAGTGTGATAGGAACTTTGGGATGTACGGCAGTAAGAAAAAACGTACTGAAAAAATAGAAACTCCCGAAGAATATATCGATATGATCAAAAGTTCTAGAACTCGTTTTTTTACGATGATTGAAAACCTCGAAGAAAAGGTAAAGGACTTTGAGTCATTTTTGAAAAATAAAGTGAAAAAATCTGACGATATAAGAATATTGAACGCTGTGAAAATCGAGTATATTTTACTCCCAAAAAAATAGCGGATGTGACATCCTTGTTAAAATACTTATCACCAAAGAGAAAAAGTTTCTACAACGATTTATTCGCGAAAATGAAATTGAAACCAAAAACATCGAAAAAAACCGGAGCAGAAGATACGAAAAAATCGAAAGCATCAAGCGATTCTGTTAAATCAAAGCCAAACGAAAAGGAAAAAATCAATAACAAAGAAGTGAATAAAAATCAAAAGTAATTGAAAAATCGAAAAAATCATTGAAATCAAAGAAAGAAAATAAAAAATGCAAACCAAAAAAAAATAAAATAAAACAAAGAAATGATACACGGAAAAAAATTTTATGATAGCGAACGAGCTATATTGGGAATATAATAAATATAAAGAACAACATTGCCAACATATTGAATTAAGCTTTGCACAATAGCCGAATGTTTAGTCGATTCAGCTAAAGTGAATCTAGCTAGTCAGCCATATTGAAAATATTTCATAATTTACCGTTCTTGCCAAGAAATATTTCTTTAATAAAGTGTCAAGTTTTGCGATTTTTCAGTTTTAAAATAATACTAATTTCAACAATTTACTTTTCATTGGTTATAATTTGTAACCTAGGATTGAAAGGATTTAAAAATGCGCATTCAATATTATTCTTTAAACAATTTTAATAATATCTGTCATTTTAAGGTTACGTTGTTTTCGACTAAAATTCAATATGGCTATTCCAGTGATATTGCCAATATCGCTCGTTCATTTTTGACGAAATTTTTAGTTGTTATAGCAAAAAAATTCTCCGATTCAGTTGTACTTTTTTTCCGTGCAGGTCACTCGAAAATAAACAACTGAAGAATTAAAAAAATTATCCAAATCTATGGCGATAAAAAACAAAAAATACAATAAAAGTTAATAATGGTTATTTATACTGTGCTTCTGATTTATTAAAATATTCGAACGGAATCAAAATATTTGTTACATTTAAATTAAAAACTGAAAATTATTCTAGTCTTCGATGATAAAAAAACACTAGAAAAATAAGAAAAAATTATTAACCGTTACGTTATTTATTGCTAATATTTATAAATTACAGTGTTATAAAATTACCTGTAATAATAATTAGGTATATGCAAAATCTTGAAATGTTAATTAGAATAACAAAACTTCAGCCAATGTACTCTTAATTTTTTTATAAATGAAAAGTTAATTTAATTAATTAAAAAAAATATCTAAATCAGTGACAATTAAAATATGGAAAACATAAACGAATAAAAGTTTATAATAGTAAAATAAAAAGTTATATTTGTTTATATGTCTAATATTCATAAATTACATTATTACTAAATTATGTGCAATTAAAAGATATATAGGCAAAAATTTAGAAAATGTTGATTATAATAATTAATTTTTAATTAATATATTTCTAAAGTTTTGTAAACGAAAAGTTCATTTAAAAGATTCTATTACAACATTTAAATCTTCGACGATAAAAATAAGCAATGAAAAAAAATAATAAAAGTTTATTGTGAAATGTTATTTATTATTAATATTAAAATAATTAAACGATTTAAAAATTTTAGAATGTGAAATACTTGTGATCCTTAGATGTTAACACTATTGAAAAAAGTATGTTTATTACAATAGTTCGTTGACCAAAAAGGTTATGTTAATAAAAAGTGAGATTAATACATTCTAAGTATTGCAATAAATATTTTTAGTAATACGTTGTGAATATGTTTTATTCCTTTTATTAAAACTTTTTATCTAATTTTGAATGATTTTCTAAAATTTTTAAAGTAAAAACAAATAAGTCGGTTAATAAAAGTTCAGATTTAGATGCAGAGATTTATTATTATTTTATAATTTGCCTAGACTGACAAACAAAAAGAAACTTACTATAGGCAGACGATATTGTCGCTTTGGCTGATTTGTGTGTTTATATTGCTGAACATCGACCTTATCGACAATGCCGTCTGGCAGTGTTGGATCGTGGATCGCGGAGTTATTTTTATTGGCGTTGCGCGTTTTTTATTAAAAATTGTGTATCTTCGTCAGTTTTGAATGAATCGATCTGATTTTTTCCACAAAACTTCTTCGATATGTGAGGAACAAATGACTCACTGGAAGTTTTTTCCACGAAAAAGTTCCCCACAGACTTTTTGTCGGCGAAGATAGGAAAGCGAGAGTACAGGTAAGTTATTATTTAAATTAATAAATAATTAAATAATTTACGGTTTTTAACTTTTTCATCATACTATCGTCTTCTCTAGACCTAAATGCGTGAGTATACCAAATTTGAAGTAAATTCATTAATATTTGTCGGAACTGGAACGATTTATGTTTAAAAATTCCAATTGCATTGGTGTCCTCAATTACTCAAGACAATCATGTGGTCTTCTTTAAATGGTAACTTGACCTCGTACCGATCATCCGCAGTCAACTGTGCTGTATTCATTATTAACTCTTGAATTTTCTTATCGCGAATCAATCTATCAATTTTTTCAATTGGATCAGTGTTATTGTTTCGAGGATGCCTAAGAAAATCAAAATAACTAACGATGCATTTTTTTAAAATTTATTTATTCAATATTCACTTTTTGCAAATTTAATATTTCACCATTCAATTTATTTATCACCATATTCCGCTTCGATGTCTATTTGCAACTGTCCAATTTTCCTCTCGCTTTTACCTGGTCTGCGGTTTCCCCTTTTTTTCCCCGCCATCTTTCCTTTTTTTTCTTACCTGGAAAAGAAAACTACGGAAAAGGAGAGGTATGGCGTGAGACAATGAAAAGGATACGTCAACTAATAATGCTAGTTGGCTGGACTTCAGCCCCTATGGCTGGCTATTGTTTCTTCAGTATATAGGTTTTTTTCCTTTTATTACTGGCTTTTCTCGACTTATATTATTTAAGTCGGCAAGTTAGGTATACTTGAGTATACCAAGGACAATCCAAACGCAATTTTAAACTCGAACTAAGATCAGGAACTATAGATCAAAATTTTAAATACTATAATTGACAATATCTCCCCCCCGTACAAGACTATGAAGCTTGTACTTTCGCCATCTCTGTCAATTTTATTAATTTATTAACGGGTCTTATAAATTTCCGTTTTGTTGTACGCACTTCTACAACCCGCACTCTATCATCCTGCCCAGGGAATAATCTTTCGATTATCTCTTTTAACCATACATTTCTAGGCACTTGATTATCGACAATCAGAACTACATCGCCTATTTTTAATGGTTCGGATTCAACTACCCATTTTTTTCGTGGAAGCAGTGAAGGAAGATATTCCCGCAACCATCGCTTCCAAAAATAATCACCAAAATATTGCGCCATTTCCCATTGTTTTTTCGGGCACTTGATTTGATGCTCATGTTGATATGTTAAATTTCCTGTCGAAGCACCTATCAGGAAATGATTTGGGGTTAAAGCTTTTTCATCTCGAGGATCCAAGGATACGTCGACCAGGGGACGCGAATTGACCGAGTGCTCTACTTCGGTAAAAAGGGTACACAGAGTCTCTTCTTTGGGAGACTGTTCTTTTAGAATCATTTTTAGAGCTACCTTCACTAAGCGTATTAAGCGTTCCCAAGAACCTCCCATGTGGGGGGTTCCCGGTGTGATAAAACACCATTTTATCCCTTTTCTGGTGGCAGATTCTTGTTGAACGTCAAAACGAAGTAGGTGCAAGGATTCACGCAGCTCCTTGTCTGCTCCTCGAAAATTTGTCCCATTATCAGAATATATTTCAAGGGGTTTACCTCTCCGATCTGACATCCTACTAAGGGCCATTATAGCAGAGTCTGCGCTTAAATTATTTACCAACTCCAAGTGCATAGCTCGGGTTGTTAAACAGGTGAACAAGGCTACCCAACGCTTTTGCTCTCCTTTTGAAAGCCTAGTCTTTCTGCCTACTGATACCATTAATGGAACAAAGTAATCCAAACCGCTATAAGTAAATGGTCGATTTTTATAAGCTAACCTTGCAGAAGGCAATTTTCCCATTATTGGTACTTTAGGGGTTTCTCTTTTTAACTTACAATATTGACAACCAGTCCCAACCGAGCGCAAGGAGTTTCGCAAATTTAGAATCCAATATTTCTGACGGATTTCGTTAATTACAGTGTTTGGACTCGCATGTTTTTGATTGACATGATATTTTTTTAACAATAATCTCGTAACTGGATTTTTGCCGTATAATATTATTGGTTTATTTTCAAAAGAGGTATCAACTACTTCCTCAATCCTACCCTGTAATCTTAGTAAACCATCACTCCCTTGTATTGGATTTAATGCTGCGAGGCGGCTGGATTTTTTTACCGGATTTCCGCGTTGTAATTCCTTAATTTCGTCTGAAAAACTCTGTTTTTGCGATTCTAACAATATTAGTTTTTCTGCTGCCTGCAAATGTTCGAGGGACAACGTTTGTTTTTTATTTCCTTTCATTTTATTTATCGCTAACAGAATTTGAGCTGTACTGCCTAACAATCGCTGATAAGAAGAAAAGCGCGCGACATCGGGTATGCAATTATTTTGTGCTACAACTAGTTGCATCATAGTTGCAACATTTTGGGCCTTCTTTTCAGCATTTGATAAATCAGCGGAATTTTCTGTAATAACTGCAGTTTGATCAGGCCAGTCAGATTCTCCTTTTTTAGAAACGGTGGTCTAAAAAACCATCTTTTATTTGAATCTAATGGAGTATTTGCAAATCTCGTTGCATCGTCTGCTGGGTTATCATTGGTAGGGACCTATCTCCAGTTTGAGGGTGATGTTAGCTCACAAATTTCTCCTAATCTATGCGCTACAAATGTGTGATAGAACCTTGGATCTGATTTTAGCCATAAGATTACTGTGCGCGAATCCGACTACAAATATCGTTGATCTATTTTTAAATTGTGTTCTTTTTCTATTGTTTTAGTGAGGCGACTTGCCAGTAACGCGGCTTGTAACTCTAATCGGGGAATTGAGAGTGGTTTTAAGGGTGCTACTCTACTCTTGCTAGCTACAATGCTTGTTTCAAGGCTTCCATCTTGTAATTCCAAACCTCAAGTAGGCCACTGCTGCGTAAGCTCTTTTGCTTGCGTCGCAGAAAACATGTAACTCAGTTCGCTTTGGATTTTCGTTTGAGTACAAGTAACATCGTGGCACCGCGCACGTGCTTATTTGTTTTAAATCTTTTAACCACGATTGCCACAATTTTTGTTCCTCTTCAGCTAGAGGTTCATCCCACTTAATACCGCTTATCCAAACATCTTGCATAAGAATTTTCGATTTGATGGTGAAGGGGGTCAATAATCCCAAAGGGTCGAAGATAGACATTATTATTTTTAGAAACTCTCTTTTAGTAGGGGGTATTGCTTCTTTTAATAGTTTTGCGGGAATTTTATTTAATCCTAAATTGAAAGCAAATGTATCAGAATTTGTATCCCATCGTAATTCTAGAACCTTTTCTGACTTATTTTCAAGATTGTTTAATCTAAGGTCAACGGTACAATTTGTGCTATCTGGGCTTACTGAATCCAAAACATTAGGGTTGTTGCTCGACCATTCATGCATTTGAAAATTGGCTTTTAAATTAACTTCTGAAACCTGATTAATTGTGGTAATAGCTTCATTTTCGGTTTTTACACTAAGAAGAAAATCGTCCATGTACGTATTGTTTATTATCGCTGAAACCGCTTCAGACATGGTATTTGCGAATTCCATTGCATTCGTATTTTTTATGTAAATAGCGCTACAAGGCGATGATTTGGAACCAAATATTAGGGAAGTGTTCTTTCGGTGGGTTGGTTCTATCCATCCCTCGCGACAAAAAGCGTTGAGCGTGTTGGTCCTCCTTTCGTACCTTTACTCTAAGAAACATGTCTACTATATCGCCTTTAATACCGATCGGATATTGTCTGAACTTCATTAATACACCCAGCAATGGACAATTGAGCAAGCCGTTTGCTCCATTGTCTAAAATGCATTCGGACAATTGGAGTGTTTGTTCAATTGTCCAATGTATTATGCCCAATCATCCGAATTATTTCTCGTGTCTAAAAAGCTGCTAAAATAATATGAAAAACTATTGAAACATTGAAAAAACGGTAGAAAATGCATAATTCTTGATATATACAGAAAAAGAAAGTATAAAAATACCTCGATCGAGTAAAAGGAACGAGTTTTCCGAAAAATCACTTTTTAACTGACAGTATACTGCTGTACTTGACATTTTATGGGTAAAGAAGAGAAGATTGTGATAATGAGTGACACTTCATTATCGACTCTCAATATTTGTCGAATGGTAAAATATAATAGTAGATTTCTTTCTGATTTTTTAAAAAAGGAATAATTATTGAATTAATTGAATTAAAAATTTTCTTACTTTTATATTTGATTTATTGTTATGTTTTTATTATATGTTTATATTTTTTGAGTACTAATTTAAATATTTTTATTTAAATTTTAATTAAATTAATTAAATTAAAAAATAGTTTAATTATTTAAAATTAATTTAATTATTTGAAATTATTTAGTACATAGGTATAATGATAATTATATATTATTATCTTCCTATATTACAAAAAGATATCGCCGCCGCTGTTTCAAGAATTCTTGACCTAGGAGGGGGGGGTCCCCCCTCCTAAATTTTGAGGTTATGTTCGTTTCAAGGCTCTGAATTTAGCCGCAAGTCCCCCTCCCTCCTCTCATTTCCCCTCCTCCGTCAAAAATGACCTAAATTTTGAGGTTATGTTCGTTTCAAGACTCTGAATATAGCCGCAAGTCCCCTCCCCTCCCCCGTCAGAAATGACCTAAATTTTGAGGTTATGTTCGTTTCAAGGCTCTGAATATAGCCGCAAGTCCCCCTCCCTCCTCTCATTTCCCCTCCTCCGTCAAAAATGACCTAAATTTTGAGGTTATGTTCGTTTCAAGGCTCTGAATTTAGCCGCAAGTCCCCCTCCCTCCTCTCATTTCCCCTCCCCCGCCAGAAATGACCTGAATTTTGAGGTTATGTTCATTTCAAGGCTCTGAATATAGCCGCAAGTCCCCCCTCTTCCCCCTTCCCTCATCTCTCTCTCTGTATTTCCCGCCAAAAATAGGGGGGTTGGCGCGCGAAGCGCGCAGGGTGGCGTAGCCCCTCTAGTTAATTAATAATATTATATTAATATTATTTATATTATGTATTATAATACCTATATATTATAATTATACATCAAATAGATAAAATTTTAAAAATTGTTAGAAATAAAATATATATATATATAATTTAAGAATGAATAGAAATATCATTATATTTTCAAAAAAAAAAATCCTTTTTTACTGGGAGTACCAAATGTCTCTATGGGAATATCCCTGTGATATTGAGAGAATATTCCTGTTATTTACAAAATTCTAAAATGTTGTTTTGAATATTTAAATAAAAAAATTAATAAATGGAAAACAGTTTTTTTTGGAATTTTTTAAATTATTTCATCAATATCACAGAGATATTCACTCAATATCAAAGGAATATTCCCTCAATATCACAGGAATATTCCGCACCGTGGAATGTCCCCATGAAGCGGGCATTATGATATCACCTGAATGTCACAAGAATATTCTCGCTTGATATCACCTTGACATTCAAGCAATATTCCGTGCAACTTGGGTGTGAAAATCGTTAAAGGCTGGGAAAACCCTGGACCAAGGTTTCAAAAAGCCTTTGCCAACCTTGGCGCAAATCAAAGCCAAGGAAAATACAATCCCTGGCGAAACCATTGCTAAAAATCACTTTCCAGGGTATGGAAATGCCTGGTTGAACGGCGGCTAAAAAAAATCAAATTTCCCTGGCTAATTACAGCAGAACAACCCTGGCTTAACTTTTCATTGCCTTTAGACATCGAGAAGGGCAGCTTTTGATCTTGGCAATTTTTTGTACTTTTTTTCACTTTATCAACCCTGGGAGCGCCCTGATATTTCTTTTTATCTTCTTTTTACCGCTGAAAGGACGGCTTTTAAACTTATTAATTTTTTTGAAATTTGTTGCCATCATCAACCCTGAGACAGCCCTGGGATTTCTTTTTATCGTCTTTTCGACCCCTAAAGGGCGGCATTTGAACTTGTCAATTTTTTTGAATATTTTTTCGCTTTATAAACCCTGGGACCGCCCTGGGATTTCTTTTTATCGTCTTTTCAACCCCAAAAGGGCGGCTTTTAAAATTATCAATTTAAAAAAAAATTCTTTTCCCCTTATTAACCCTGGGATCGCCCTGGGATTTCTTGTTACCTTCTTTTTAACTCCGAAAGGGCGGCTGTTGAACTTGGCATTTTTTAACAAATTTTTTTCCTTTATCAACCCTTGGACCACCCTGGGATTTCTTATTAACGTCTTTTCATTCCTAAAAGGGCAGCTTTTGATCTTGGCAATTTTCTGTACTTTTTTTGCCCTTACAAACCTGGGTCTGTTTTCGTTTAAAAATTTTTTGTTTAAGTTTTATTTTTTTGTTTGCTGGGAAAAATCTTATCTATTTTTTTTGTTCTTTGATGATTTTTCTGAAGGTTGTTTTCTAATTTTCTATTTCTTATACGATTAATAATAATAATTAGTCATATTTAAATGTAGTACAAATCATTTATTTTATACAAATATAAAAACATTTATAATGTGAATATATTCAATTAATTAACAATCATGAAGAAAAGTGTTTTAAATGTGTTTTAAACTAAGCGATAAAAATAAATAATACGTATTAAAGTTTCTTATCATAGTTGAAAGGTCTATTCCTTAATTTGTGCTATCTCCATTGAGCGTCGATTTGATATATATTGTGAATGAAAATCATGTGATTCTTTACGAAAAAATAAATAAAAATTTAACTGAAGATCTTGAAAATACTTTGTCGTTGTATGTTAATTGTGCCTAAGTTAAGGATCCGGGATTTTATCAAATCCAAAAATCGTCCTCCAAGTAGAAAAATTTTTTTAAAGACAAAATCTTCAATTCCATTGATGTTTCTAATTTATTGAAAATAACAAGGAAATGAATGCATAATCTGGTTCGTTAAGCAAAAATTTGGTGCACAATTAATATTAAATTACAATGTTAATTAAAGCAAGTTGGATATAATTTGATTTGAAATTTTATATGTTTTAATTGTTTTAATTTAAAAATTATATGCTTTGAGAAAATTATTTTTATTTTTAGTTTCTAGCTATTGTTCAAAAACAAAACTATGCTCTACACAAATATTTAATTTTCATATATAGTTATTTAACTAAAATATACTTACATTTTTAATTTTTTGCTTCTCACGACTGTCTATTTAATTAACGTTGATGCAATAAAAAACTGTAGATTGTTTCAATGATTTTTTATGAATATCGTCAGCCATTTAACTTTCTTTGTATTTAGACTAAATTCTATTGAATAATTTTAGTTTAATTAATAATGATGATGATTCACGCTTTCTCATTTTACTCAGACAAAATCATGTCGAGAACTGACAGTATTAGTGGCGACTAAACTCAGCCAAAATTTTGCTGAATTTATTTAACTGTAATAACGATTAATCTCAGCCAAAAACTTCAAAGTC